CAGCAAATCGATTTCACGCAAATATCATATTTTCGGCAAGCAAGCAAATGTACAAAAGCCCGCTCCTTTCCCCGTTTCACGCTTCTTACTCTTCACTTCTCGTTCTGACTTCCATTTTTATTTTAGAGTTTGTTTTGATCCGACACAAGCACGCGCCTGCCTCCGCAAGCATCCCCTCTTCCATGTGCTTATTATATTTCTGTTCCTCTTTCCTTTTCGTTCTTATTTTTTCATTTTGCTTTGAACTATGGTAAATTTGCTCAAAGTGTGGTGGCACGGAAAAATTTTTGGTATGGTGGCAGCCGACACTTCTCTACCGACACCGTCGGTCGAGTGGTGCACTCGTCGACGTGTGGTATATTTGGCCGACTGCACCCCAAAATTTTTGCGCAAGAAAAACGGTCACAGAAAATGCGCCTTCTCATTTATAGACGTTCTCTGCTCTGGTTGAGGAATTTATAGTACAGACACATTGCTGGCAGAGATATAAACCTCCGAAAATTCGATGTTTAATTCGAAATTGCGCCTACTGATTTCGAAATGTGATAGCTGCATTGGTTCTTAAATTTGCTAAAATCATGAGCGGAAGCAAGTGGCATACGTTTTTAGCGACATCTGTTGTTGCACTTCTTTAAAGTGCTCAAGAAAGTGGATCTGTAGGAAATGGAAGGTGCAAAAATAAAAATAATAAAAATAAAAAATTATTTTTTTGGAAAGTTCCAATAAAAAATAATTATCTATGTACATACATACCAATGCATGTAAAGAGTGCAGCGTCTTTAACGTCGGTATGTAAACGCTGAATAACTTTATGACATATGTACATACGTATATAGGCAAACTTAAAAAAAAATTATTTATTTATTTAAGACACTTGAATCTTTTATTTAATAAATAAAAATGCAATTAATATATGAAATGTTTTGAGATTTGATTGATATGGCAGAAATGGAGCTTTGTCCTTCCATTATAATGAAACTGTTTACAAACAAAAAAGAATATTAATTGGCTAACATAAATTTTGCGATTCTACTGGTCCGATTTCGAAACCAAGAACACCATTGGAAAGATATTTTTCTGTAAATAACGAGAATTTCAAATTTGATTGAATTTTATGACTGCGAACTCTTTCTCCTTCCGTATTTGTGTTTAGCTGTTGTTGCAAACTCTTAAATTTTTGTTGTAATTAGTTTGTTAACGGTGCACTATTTTCGCATTTTCTTTCGCTTCGTATTTTTGTTTTTAAATAGGAATGCGAATGCGAATACGAAGAGCAGCCGAAGGCCAACTCG